AAAAATTCTGCGGGATTCCGGTATTTCGGGATCCTTGTACCGCTCACTTCGCTCTAGTGAGCGGTACCCTTTAAAGACGCAATACTTGCGAGATTATTGCAACAAATGTTTTTTTTGTGGGCGGTTGATATACACCTAAATCAATATTTAGTGACCGCACATTTTGGGCAAAGGGGGCAAGTTGTTAAGTTGATGAAGGAAAAAAGCTTATGTCGATATTTTTAGCGCATTTCCACAAAAATAAAAAAAAAATGCGCTATTGTGGCCACTTTGTCCGTCCGTCCGTCCGTCCGCTCGTTTTGCGACGCTACTAGTTCTTTATCTTAAGAGCTATTGTTCTACTTTTTGCGCTGTTTGGTTCGTTATGGTGTCGAGTCTTGTACCAAGGAAGGAATTTTTTCTGCGGTTATTGCTAAAAAAGTTATTGTAAAAAAAAACAAAAAACCGTTTTTTACATGTTCCATAATTTTACACTTTTGCCGTTTATTAACGATCCTAGAGATCGTTTATAATTTTGCATTACTATCTGTCGTCTGCCTGTTGGTCTGTCCGTCTGTTCCTTTGTCTGTCTGTCCATCTATCTGTCCGTGTGAACGATAACTTTGTTTAGAAATGTTCAATCGCTTTTACATCTCCGTTAGTTATGAACTGAATTGCATGAAATTCAATATGGGCATAGCTTTAGCCATATAATACGCAATGCAAAAAGTTGAATCGAATCGATTCAAAATTCACAGTGCCCTTTTCGCATCTCGACCATTTATAAACCGAATTGCAAACTTTTTTTACTTATAAAAGTATTTGAATGAAATTTGATACATAGGCACTTGGAATAAAGGAAAATCAAACGCCAATTTCAAATTTTGGTTTTGCGCATGCGCAGTGCCAACTTTTTTATTTATGGAAGAATTTAAACGAAATTTGATACATAGGCACTTGGGATAAAGGAAAATCAAACGCAAATTTCAAAATTTGGTTTTGCGCATGCGCAGTGCCAACTTTTTTATTTATGGAAGAATTTAAACGAAATTTGATACATAGCCACTTGGGATAAAGGAAAATCAAACGCCAATTTCAAAATTTGGTTTTGCGCATGCGCAGTGCCAACTTTTTTATTTATGGAAGAATTTAAATGAAATGTGATACATATGCACTTGGAATAAAAGAAAATCTAGCGCCAGTTTCAAAATTTTATTTTGCACATGCGCAGTGCCAACTTTTTTATCTATGGAACCATTTAAGTGAAATTTGATACTTAGGCGCTTGGAACAAAGGAAAATCTAACATTAGTTTTAAAATTTAGGTTTGCGCATGCGCAGTTCCAACTTTCTTATTTAGAAAAGCATTGAAATAAAATTCTTCACATAAACTGAAATTGAAGTAGCACGTTAAAAATGGATTTTAACAGAAGTCGCATCTTACAAATGGGAAATGAATGCAAGTGGAAATGCGCTTTATGTAAATCGTTTACGATTACTTTTTAACTTGTTTAAGAATTAAGGAAATGTGCTATTGTATGCGTTTGTCCGTCCGGACCCACTTCTACCGTTTTGAACTACTTCTAGGGGAATGGTCTTAGAGTCCTGGAATTTTTGCAGTAGGTAGCCTATACCTTGAAGGTGTGCCAGACGGCCATCAAATTTCGCTGCCTAAGAGGGCCCCTCCCCCCCCCCACGAATTATTTCCTGAAATGCTGTTTTTGAAAGTGAAACGTGCATAACTTTTACTTTAATTTAATCTCTCATTGTATTCTAATTAAAGGTCTCAACGAAAGGAACCGTTTTCTACCAACTACTGCCCTGGGGAGTGGAACTAGTTTTAGCCTTCATGGTACCCTAATGAAAGGTCTCAACGAAAGGAATTAATTTCTACTAACTATAGCCCTCCTCCTCGACCTCTTATCGTGATCGGGTATATTCCCTTATACCTCAAGAACGGATTGTCGGAATAGGGTACTCACAAAGGGCGACTGAGACGTCCGCCAGAAATATATCCATTGGTGATGACAAAACAAAAGCTATTTCGGTTTAAAAAATGCGCTTTATCTGCACTAGAGTTGTGCACAATTTATACTTGTTTTACTTACCTAGTTAAGGGTGGAAATTTAGTCTGGAACACTGAATATCTTCAAAACAACAGTTTTTTAAAAGAGGCTTTTTATAGTATCCACAAATATAAACGGTTCGCTACCAACCTACATACCTTCAGTTTGTGATCAATGGCGCACTTCTGCATGGTCAGAAGAGGTACTAGCAACCACTAGTTTTCATTACAGCATATATTTAAAGAGAGTACACTTTTTGTGATATAGCAACAAACTTATTATATTACATAATCAAATTTAAGAACAAAACTCAAATTGAGGAAAATGGTTTGTTAATTAATTTCATAATTTTACTTCTTTGAACATATGTTGTTAAAATATGTTCTCATTTTTAAAAAAGTTCATTCTAAATATAGTTCCTTCCATTAAACAGAGCGACCCTCGGGCCCTCTTAGTTCTGTAGACGCCTCGGTAGCCGCACGCCACTATACATATAAATTAAACATGGATTTCCTGAAATGTTTTTTAATGATTTTTGATACAAAAATCTGATGTAACTGAATACCGAACGATCCTCTTGATCTTCGCACATACATCATTTTTACAACACATCTTAAGGGATTGATTCTGTCCCACCAGATCAGTATAGCTTGTAAAAGCAATTTTTGAATCGGCATTAGTTTTATTTGTATTCGAGGTCCGTATAGGTACACACAAAATTTTATTTAAATATCCGAACAAATAAAAAATTTGAAATTGCGCATGCGCAAAACAATTTATTTGATTCGGCATGATTTTACTTTTATTTGAGGTGCCTACATATAAAATTTCATGCAATTCGGTTCATAAAATAAACTAACGGAGATATCAAAAAATCTAATTGCACATGCGCAAAACAAATTTTTTGATCGGCATCAGTTTTACTTTTATGTGAGGTGCCTACATAAAAAATTTCATTTAAATATCTTAACAAATAAAAAAATTGCCATTGCGCAAATACAAAAGTTGGGCTGCACATGCGCAATTTTTTTTCATCTGCATAGTTAGGTACCTGAGGTTTACGGAATATTTAATTATTTACTAACACCGAAAATCGAACATTCATATGTTCTTTGTAACAAGAATTATAAAAGAAACCCTTTTTTGAGGTTTGGGCTTTTGGCCCGTTAGTCTACGTAGCTGAAAAACAATAGCTCCCTTTCTTATATCCTGAAGAAGTTGTGTATCAGTTTTCAAAGCGATCGGACGTTTCTACACAAAGTTATCGTGCACACGGACAGACAGACAGAAATTATACACGATCTCGAGGATCGTTAATAATATCCAGTAACCACTATAATGTTAAATCAATGATGTCTTTAACACCAACACTTCTCAACAAAATTTTAGGGGTAACATAATATGTACTATACCTACAAACCGGATTTCCCTCTAAAAGCAAAAGAGATAACAAAAAAATACCGATGCTTTAGAGCACTAATAAACCGTTACAACGAAATATCGTCAGTATTACCATTACCATCACGTTTTTAATGACCATTTATTCTAATTTTACAATATACATATTATAATCAACAAAAATGCATCAAATTCATGTAATGGGCATTGAGATAATGCACTACTTAGTCTCTTCCCCAACGATCTTAGCGTACAGTACAAATAACGATTTTGAGATATTTTGATCAAAATCAATGTGGTCGCTAAAAAGGCATTAAATTAAATTAAATGTCTTGGTCATTAAGATAGGATAATGTTCTTGGTCTTTTTCCCAACAATCTCGGTGCAAGAATATTATGTGCTCAATTTAAATTTTAATTAAGTCGAAAAATCTAGCGCGCTGTTGCTAGGAAAAAAAGGATTGTCAATTATTTTTTTGTTAGTTTTAGAAAACGCATCGCTTTTTAATTAGGATATTAATTTCGATACCGGGTGATCGAAAAGTAGTGCGGACAATTTGAATTTTCCGTAAAACTAAACATTTATAACGTTGGTAACATACCAAATGTCATATATGTATGTAAAAGCAGTGGTGGATGAATTTAATCACTAATGCATAAATAAACTACCTTCTAAACATGGTTGCCAATTCCTTAAGTAAAAAATATTAAAAACTTAAAGCGCCCAATTTAAACTGTCTGCAGTTCTTTTTGATCACCCGATATAAATAATTCTCTGTACTTCTGCGTTATGATTAATTTAAGTTTACTAAACTATAAAGACTTTATTTTGTCAACAAATCGTATGGAAAGTGGTACTTTTTTGAACGATTTTTACTATGCGTTTCCATGGCGTTTAGCCCTGTCTATGAACAATCGCATCCATTTTTGAGTGACAGTTAAATCGTGAATGTCTATGATAACTATGATAATTATTCAGTTATCGGTTTTAGGATCACTATGCAAACAAATTTGAAAGTTGAGTCTTTCTTTAGGAATTTGCATGTTTAACTCGGGCTTTGGCCTCATGAATCAAACTCAATTTCATGAAAAAAAGTATCACTTCTAAAACTATTGTGGTTTATGTACCAAACAGACCAAGATAGTAACTTCCCAATGCAAAATGGACCCAAGGTCAATACATAGTCCAGTTTTCTAGCTTTATCTTTCTCCACTCTCCATTGTGATATGTACATCAGATCTTAAAAAACCTAACAAAAAATAATATCTTTTGCTGAAATGCTATTTATTCTCTACCCAAGAGAATTCTACATCACCAGTACCTATATGAGGTCATAAGGAGGCTATTTATACCTGGCGAGGGTCTACACTGTTGCTTGACCAGTTTAAGACCAGTTAAAGAGAACACGCGCCATGGTAAAGACAGACTTAATTAGTGCAATTGTGATTGAAATGCACTAAAAAGACCATTAAGGAAAATATGGAGAAATGGAAGGGGTTTGTTTAAAAATGTACTCTTCAAATATGTTAAAGTGAGGAAGAAAAAATTCACAATGAAAAAGATTTAACATTTACTACTTGTTGCTTCATTCTGTGCCAGATTCAGAATTGATATTGTATACCTACAGTCATGTAAAAAATATCCATAAACACCTAGTATAATTGCCATTCCTGTATTTAATTATTACTCCCTAAACCCTAATGGCTGTATGCACTGACAAATTTAAAAATCCATGACAACCATTGTAGCAATAATCGTTGCCAGGGATTATAAGCTACGCTTACGCTAAGCCTCGCTTAAATTTGTCAGTGCATACGGCCATAAGTGATTGATTACATTTAAATGTTACATACTTTTGAATACCACTGCTTGCTATGCAAACAATTGATATTAACACAATGAGGACACCTGTTTAAAAATTTTTCACTCACACTGCGGTTACTATCTAAATGTGATTTCACTACATTAGCAAGAGCTTCGATGAACATAGGATGATCATTTGGAGCGGGCACTCTTAAAATCGTAGGGTTATTGATCTCTTTGGCCAGGTCCTTACAATATTCAATGTCCAATTCGTGCAAAGTTTCTATGTGCTCGTTCACAAAGGCAATTGGTACTAACAGAAAGGTTTTTTTCCCTTGCGCAACGTATCCCTTTAACGCCTCATCTGTGAATGGACCCAACCATGGTAGCGGACCTACTTTAGATTGCCAAACCAATTGATAAGGATTACAGTAATTTAATTCTTGCATAACGAGTTGAACCGTTGTGCCAACTTCCGAAGGATAAGAATCGCCTCTATTAACAGCGGCTAGTGGTAAAGAATGGGCGCTGAATAAAATTAATGCTTCTTTTCGTTTATCTTCGGGCAATTTTTGTAATTCTTTAATGATTAAGTCTGCAAATGTTTTTGCTAACAAAGGCTGTGCAGACCACCGGTCGATCACACTAAATTTTAAAGATTTTGGAAAGTCTCTTTTCTTAAAAAGTTTAAAAATCTCGTTGAAGCTGGAACCCGATGTCGCACAGCTGTACTGAGGATATTGTGAAAAAACAATGACACGTTCCACTCCGTCTTTCTCTAGTGATGAAAATGCATCTTCAGTTGACGGAGTTGTGTACCGAAATGCTATATAATATTGATGAGGAGCAGTCGAAGGTGATAACGTATCTAATTTTTTGCAAAGCAGTTCGCCCTGTTTTTGAGTCCACTTATAAATAGGTGAACCACCGCCAATCTCCGCATACTTTTTCTGAACCTCTGGGGTTCGTCTTTTTGCAATCCATGGCCCTAAACGGTCTTGCATGATCGGAAATTGTATCATATCGCGATCAGTCATGATTTTATGCAGAAAACTAGGCACTTCGTCCAATGAATGCGGTCCGCCCATGTTAAGCATGACAACAGCAGTCTTCGCACTCTTTGTATGCAATTTTCGTATTTGAAGCAAACTTCTTACATAAAGAAGTTTATTTGTGCAGGAAATCATGATTAAACAAATTTCATGAACATAGAGGTTAGGTTATGTTATAACGGAGATAACACTGTTGCTAAATGCTTAAGTGCGGAGTTGCCGACGTCTCGTGTCAACATTTTTTAAAAATTACCAGTAATTTATGTTTTTTTAAAATATTCCATAAATCTTATTTGGATTTTATGGGTGTTTGAAAACAAAAACGCTTGTTAAATAATTATATATTTTGGTGTATTAAATAAAACACATCAGCATACCTAGATATTTCGCCATCACGTTTATAGGTACTTATAGGTACTTTTATTTAACTCAATGAACATTTTTGCTGTTTTGTTGTGAGACGAAAGTCGTTCGGAAGAACGAGAAGTTCCAGATCGCGAATTTAATGCTGTAACAAACATCTTCATTAGGTCAAACTAGATTCAAGTTGTTCATTCCCACTTGCTTCAAATAACAAAAAGGGGCAGATCACCTCGGTGTGACCCCACGGTATCATAATTGGATTTGACCCATTTTCAATTGGCTTGTTACATGTGGTATATATGCAAAGTTTGAACCGAATAACTTCAAACGTTTGCCAGAGGCAGAGAGGCGTGACCGAGGGCGTGACCCTAGGGGTTCATTGGATTTGACCCATTTTCAATAGGCTTATTACTTGTGGCATATAGGTCAACTGTGCAAAGTTTGCATCAAATCGGTTCAAGCGTTTAACAGTTATCGTGTCCACGGACAAACGGACACCATCGACTTCCCTATAAAGCTTGCATCGCTTTGCTCTGCCGCTTAATAATTAATATCGGAATCGCCACATCATCACGGTCTGCCCGTGTGGCGTGTGCCGCAGTTCAGTTGAAGCTGGACTGCGGTACTCAGGGTCTCTGGTTCGAATCCGGGTTCGGGCTTGGATATTTATAAATAGAGACCGGATTTAATGCTTTTATGCATTACGTAAATATTGTATGTAGCTTAAAATAAAGCAATAATTTACACGAACTAACAAAAATGAATCACATTGGCGCAAAGAAAATAGTGCATATTTTGCATTTTTGGGGTTTTTGTGCATATTTAAGATAGATTAGCATTTTATTAATTTTTTGAACTATTTTTATTACAAAACAAGTTCCCTGTGGTACTAATTGCAACAATTATATTTTTATTTATAAACTATAAAGATAAACAAATAATAAATCAAATAAAATAAAAATTATAAGATAGAAGCAGAACAAAAGAAAACAATAAAAATAGAAGAAAAATAAAAATAAAAAAAAATAGAAAGAATAAAAAAATAAATGAAATACAAAAAAATATGGCCCCCAAGTTTGTTAAATTATAAAACATCAGTGGTGTTCAGTTCAGCATTAATTTATAATGCAAGCAAATTTTGAAGTTCAACAAATGAGATGACGAATGTTGGCTGGGGAAAATGTTGAACGTTTAAATATAGAACCTCGTCTAATACCTCAGCTAAAGTGCGCTCCAATTACTCGTGTCGATGCGGAAAGATGTTTCTCTGTGTATAACCACGTAATAGGCGCACAAATTTTAAGATGGACCACTTGGAACAATACTTAGTCATTAATTGTTTTAATACAACTAATGTTTAAATAATTAGAATTAAAAAAGTTTCAATAATTATTTGGTCATTTTAATTTTTCATGCATATCTTCATGCTTTTTTGTGCATATATATGTGCATTTTTGACGTGTTTTCATGCATATAAGGCCGGTCCCTATTTATAAATGTATACTGTGTAATAAAATGTAACATCCGTTTCCAGTAATATATCGGATATCCAGGATTGCTATTATTATAGGTTCTAAATATCTTATCTTTATTTAGTATGTATAATAGCGGCTTTCGATATCGACAATAATAAATGAATTTTTTGAATCTTATTCTTCCCTTCACTGATATTTTGAATAGGTACCTATTATGTGTATGACATTTTATTTAGTGGACGTATCATACCATATACATACGATAAGGCAATGCAACCGCATGCCACAATTTGTGACTTAAACAAATAGTCGCTGGTATTGCATATCTTGAGACGGGATGTGAAAATTGATTGTACGGCTACTATCAAAGATTAAAGCAATAAAATCAGATTTCTTTGCTTCTTTATAGGATTCGGATTTATTCGATTTACTCGATTCATTTGATTCACTCGATCTACTCAATCTTTACTCAATGTACGCAATTTGCTCAATTTAATCAATGTGCCTACTCAATCGACCCATAGACATATGCCTATGAATCGACTCAATGGAACTCAATTACTTATACACCTTAACAGTACTACACTGTATAGATAGGAGCTGTACTACACTGTACAAAACCCTCATCGTAGGTACGCGGTACGACGCGCATATGTGGCGCATATCACTTAGCTTTTCAATGTACACTACAGCACCATCCAGAATTACTAACTATAGTTAGTAGGTGTAGTATAATAATTTTTCTGCTTTCCAGTTAATTGGCTTACAATTTCCACCATACCATTACCCACCCATCAATCGGTCTACAAACCATCTACATCTTTAATGTTTTTATAATAGACGGTAAATATGCTTTACAACTAATGTCCATCCATTTACATATCATGTAATGTTTACTTACTGCACCGGTAGCTTGGTAGGTGGGTTGGGTTGTGAAAGAAGATGGCAGGACGAGTTGGCTTTATTTTTGACTTTACAAACTAAAAGTTTTAACACATTAGGGTAACTACTGACTTGAAAGAACATACCTAAACCAGGCGCTGGCGTGAAATAATTAAAAATTATTTTAACCAAAACCACAAGGTTTTAGAGTAAAATTTTGCTCTTAATGTGACTACGTTGCAATATCCAAATCAAATTCCCTTTCCAGTAGGTAACATTTCCAGCGCCTGCTTTAACTACGGCAAAACAAGTTTGTACATTCGGGCAATACCCGCGTATTTTTAAACTTTACATTTTGAATTAAATTAAATGAAGTTTCTGCTACACAACATCACCTTATGATTGACGTAATGTCCGAAATCAATAACGAAATAAGAAAATAACAAGACAATTAGTGAAACATCGATTATTTCTTATCCAACCCAATTAATTACTTTATCCAACACCTCTATGTTATCCAGTCATTATCATGACGAAATTAAACGAGTAAGGTATAATATAACCCACTAATGAGTTATGGACGTAAAATAACTCACTAGCAAGATAAAGTACAGGAACCATAAGTAAATCCATATAAATTTTCTGACTACATTTTTTGTTGTTTATTATTCCCCATAGCAACGAATTATTGCTTTTGTATTCCATGCACTCTAGCTTTTCGCGGACACGCAGTTTTTAAGATTTCCACGTTTTAAACCAGCTTGAGGAGGTGTTGGATAAAGTTTTGTATGGTGCACGTGTGTTAATTACAAATAAGTCACTTGAGAAAATAACCCCACTCGGCCTGACGGCCTCGTGGGCTTACTTTTTTCTCGGGTGACTTATTTGTAATATAACACACTTATACCATAAATAACTATTTTTTCTTTACTATTAGGAATCGATGTTTGGAACGTATGTCCATTTGAAGCGTGGATTGGTTCAAATCTAATCTTCAATGGTTAATAGCCTTGCTTGTGAATTGCTGGGGGCGTTCTAAATGCCTAATAATATACATAAGTTAGAAAAAGGCAAGAACGTGTCTTAAAAAATTAAGCGCCAACGACATACCGGCAAAGCTACAGCGAATATACTATATGTTACGGATATTTTGTTGGGAGCTTTAGTTAAACGTTTCTGGGAACGTGAAATAGGTAGGTTTTAAAAAAATTTGTACTAGGAGTGACCCTGAAGGCCGAATCAATGTAAAATGTTTTCAAAATGGTTGCATTTCCGGAAGTAGCTAGTAACTTTGTTATTTTAAATGGCAACCCTTATTTTTTATTGCACTTAAACCCATCACACAATGAAAAAAATAAGGAATAAGAAATATGAAATAAAAAATAAGGAATAACAATTTTCAATCTACTGATGTTTATGGATTTGCACACAACACTGAAATATGGAATAAGCCTAGGAAATAAGAAATAATAATTTCGTTCAGTCACATTTTTATTCCTTATTTCATATTGCGAACCAATGACATTAGAAGAGGCGCGCACGCGTTATCTATTTTCATTATTTTAGATTGTTAACCCAAAATAAAACAAGTATGAGGTGTTGTTTTTGTGAAGTTATGAAATTGGAAGTTGGAATTATATTTGATGAGCTGCCATTATAATGACTTACTTCAAACAGCATGAGTGTTCTCATTGGCTTATAGTCTGTTGCTATTTGTTTGTTGTGTTTTGCGTGAACGGCGTCACTATTCCTTATTCCATTTCTTATTCCTTATTTTTTTCATTGTGTGATGGGCTTAACGGTCGGTGAAATAACTATTAATGAATAAACATTGATACTATTCATAAGCTACACCAAGAGTTCTTCGCATTCCGATAGGTGGCGGTTTCTATGGCCGAACAAACGCAACATCATCAAAATGCTGGTATATGAGACACTGACAAATGTAGTTTCTTTTGCCACACTCGATGCTCACTTCCAGAATATAACCTCAAATCAAACTAAAATGAAACCCGTATAAACTTAAGAATTAAGGTAAATAAATTCAGTTCATGTATTACTATCGTCTAGTTTTGAACACAACTTCAAATTATTTAACCGCCAATCACCGTTTGAAAAATGCGTTTTCTTGTGTAAAATGTTATGAGAAATTCAGAAGAAGGCCTAAATCATGAAATGGCAGCGCATATTTTTGTGTCTATTTATTTTGTATGTGGGAAAAGTTAAGTCGTTACAAAAAATACTTACAATTAATATTGATCCTGGCAAAAAGGATTGTTTTTTCCAATTTATTAAACAAAATGATACTCTAGATTTGGAATATCAGGTTATCGATGGAGGGCATGGTGATTTAGATATAACGTTTAGTGCCATAGAGCCAGGTGGTCGTCTATTGCACCTTGATGTAAAAAAATCGGAAAATGTTTATCAAATGGCAGCTCAACGAAGTGGAGATTATCAATTTTGTTTTGATAACACCTTTAGTTCCTACAACACGAAAACTGTGTTTTTTGATTTGTTTGCTGAAAGTGAAGATTATTGGGGCAACAATGAACATTTCGATTTTAACATACCAGATGTAGTTTCCGAGGATGAAGTTTACGAACTCAAAGTTGAAGACATTATTGAAACAATCGGAAATGTGCGTGAACATCTAACTAAAGCGAGGCATCTACAAGACGTGTTTAAATCGTTTGAAGCGAGAGATCGAAATATTGTGGAAGAAAATTACTTTACGATCAACTCTTTTTCCTTCTTTCAAGTTATTGTTATGGTAACTGTAGGAATTATTCAGGTAATCATGGTTAGAAGTTTATTTGATGATAGATCAAAGGTTTCAAAAATTTGGAAACGGCTGGATCCAAAATATTAATGCCATTGCAGGTTATTCAAATTTAGCAATATCATAGTGTGATGTTAATATAAGAGAGTGGTACTTTGTAAATACTTTATTTTAGATACAACTTAATGTTAAAAGAATCTCATATTTCTAAAATTACAATGCATATAGTGTTGTCATTAACAATTTTAGTAAAAGGATAGAAAGCACATGCCCTCTTACAAGGAATGATTCCAATGTATTTGCCAGCACTTGTATATGTGAATTTGATTTTCGTTTATTTTTCCCATACACATGTACGCGAATTTGTTTTTAAGACTGCTTCTTTATGTAAAAATGAATTATATAATTATTTAAAATGTACGAATTTCAATTTTTTATGTTATAGTTTCATTAGTGCAAAATGGTAAGCAGTTGCTTCTTAACTTTTGAATGCTTTTAATAATTCCTAATTGGTATGATATATGTATCAAAATAGAGGGAATATCACTTGGTGTGCCAAAAATTATAGCCATTATACTGGCATCTAAATTAAGAAAATGTATAGGGTGGTAAAAGGTGGTGTGTTTGCCTATTACATATATCTGCTACACTGCACCTGGCGCTTTGGCAGGTTATAGGTTACTTAATAAGCATCATTCAGTGGAGTATGTAGAGTTACGTTAGAGTATTTTTTTTCTATTTACTGTGTGCGGAATAAATGTTTGCCAAGAGTTTTGCAGTATTTTGCCTTCTGCCTTAAGCTGGATTCATATGCATACGAAATCCGACGATACTGTAATCCGAAAGGCGTATGAGTGGATAGAGTAAAACAGAAAAAGTGGTTATGTTAGGTGAAGAGCAGAACTGGAATATAATTTCATATGAATTCCAACCCTTGACTACCTTGAACACATGTGATTAGAGGTGTATGATGAAAATGATTCGAAATTTTACCATTAGAATAGGTATTCTAAATGCAAGCGTACGCGTAAATGATACCAAAGATCAAGTATGATATCTTTGATGACACCGACTATTCCATGACGAAGTTGAGGTTATGTCATACGATCAGTGTTGGACTGGGTCAAGCATAGAGTGACCCAGTTTGACCCTGTGGCCCAGCTTGCCCCAGTGACGCATCTCGACCCATCTTGACCCGGTGGTCCAGTTTAAACCGATGACCCCTAAGTTGATCCAGTTGAATCCGGTGACCCAGTAATTAAATTATTGTTAGGTATCCGGAATGAACACCAGTAAGTAACTGGTAAGCCCTGAAGCAAAGAAATGAAGGATGGAACTGTTTAGAAATAACATTACTCTAATACAATTCGGGACATGGAAAGTTTTTTACGGCAGTATTAAAGCAAACATCACAGAAATGGCAGTTGTCAAGCAATCGAGTATTATTTTCAACAAACCAGCATTAAGTTTCATTTATTTCATAATCTGTACACTTGAACCGAGGTCACTGTGTTATTCAATCAAACTAGGCTACTGGGTCAAATTGGGTCCCCGGGCGAGATTGGTTCGCTGAGTCAAACCGGGTCACTGGGTCTAACTGAAGAGACTATGACGTGACCAAGGACGTTAAAAATACTGGACACGGCATTCTGTATCTACTATTAAAATTAAAGTGAAGCCAACATGTGTTTAGGCGCGGGTGTGAAGGAGGAACGACAAGTGCCTCCGGCAACAGTGGCGTTCCCGATTAAATTTCTAACGGGGTCAAAAAAATTATCACAACAGAATGCATGTTTGGTCACATACCTTCTCATGATAATCAAACCGTTTCCAAAATTATTCCTGAATGAAATTAAACTGCATTAGGTTCACATTCTTGTATATTTCATGAACACATATAAAGAAAATATGTAAAAATTTAGCAACCTACTCGAATAATGTGCTCCGAATTTTCCGAAATGTATTCTTTTTTCTTCAATAGTGTTAGGAGTGACTGTAAATTCGTAACTCTAGATCTCAACCTTCGAATTCTCTGATTAAGTGTAACAACTCTTCTCCTATACTTTACAACAGCACCCTTCAGCATTCGCGCATGTTTCTTTGCTTTCTTTGGTGTGGAAAACTCATCGCTAGCAATATCTCCTACATAACGTTTTTTGCTACAATAAAGTATACTTTATATGTGGGTAACCTTTTTTTTGGTTAAATTAGTCATACCTGCTTCCATCTTTGTTTACATTTGGATATGCAGTAGGTAGATGGTCCAGCACAGAAAATATCTCTTTGCCCAGGAGGTGTTGTTTGTCCGATAGCTGATTTCTGTTCAAATTCAGATGCTGTTAAGGTCCCTGAAGATGACTTATGTCTAAACAATCCAAAAAGTAAAATTGTTGATATTTATACATAAATAGATTCACTAAATCAAAGGTATTTACAGCAAGTAATTGTTATTTATACGAGTATTAATATAACTGCAGATTGTTTTTTCACTAAATGATGATTGGTTACTTTATGTACCTTTAAATGTTACAATTACAACTCAAATGGCAGGTTTCTCCAACAATATGCAACACTTAAAACCAGCTTAAGTTTAACGTTACTAAGAAAGTAACTAATTTCAATCCACCGACAAATATCATGTCTCTATTACTTACTTACTTAAGTGTATTGGAGAAACCGGGCATTACACCCTTAACACACAAGTGAGCTTCATGCACAAGAAGGTAGGTGCTTGGTTATTACAGCCCTATTGTTATTATAGGTATGTATACGTCTTCTAGTCACGGATCTTTACCCCTGCGTCATTGATTTGTTAATCAATTTCAGACATACGCTTGCATATACTAGAAAACTGCAACATGTATCAAGCAAGCGAAATCTACATAAAACTTAATGTCTAAAATTGATTCACAAATCAATGACGCAGGGGCAAAGATCCGTGACTAGAAGTATATAACTATTGCACTGCTTCCACCAGACCAAACACTACTTACTATCATAATAATAGTGTAAACTTACACAGTTTTATGAGATACGTTATCTCGGAGTTTAGGAGGAGTATTCGTTTTTGTAGAGCTACCTGTAGTACGTCTAAAAAATATGCAGTTTCACACAGAATCACATCACGAACTATACTTACTTGAGCTTTAATGGTTGCTGACAAGGAGGTTGCTGACACGAACCACTGCTACTAGAGCTGCACATAATACAATTATTAGTGTTCATTTTACAATTACACAAAATTACCTACCTCAAATTTTGTGTAGGTGATAAATTTGAGTTATAAGGCATTGGTTTAGCGTCGCTTTTTAAGTACTTTAAACCAGATGGTTTGATTTCAAAATCACTCTGTCGGAAATGTTGCGAGCATATTCGAGAGGTTTTTGTCAGTTTTTTATCTTCTTTAAAATTCAATAAACTGAACCATTCCTTAATGAGATCATTGTTCTTCGTGAATCTATAAAATGAGAAAGTAAATTATCTACGCCACTGATCTCAATAACACAATAAGAGCAACATAACCTCAAAAAAGTACTTACGCGTGAAATGATATTCCTTTTTTTCGCCTATCATATGCATTGCATACTTCACAACGCCGCACCATGATATAAATAATTGTCACAGGCCACACTTAGTCAAAATCACGTAATTAGACAAAAAACAACTTTCACGTAGGCGTGTAAACAAACAAACGACCATACACGAACTTTGCCAAAGGCGTGAACACGACCAAGCCACAGAATAAAGTGCTACTATTCTATGACCAAGCTGAGGATAACAATGCGTGGGATGTTAGCTTCACAACAAATCGTACAATGCCGTGTCCAGTATTTTTAACGTCCTTGGGGTGACCGGACTTAGGCAATCCACCTTGCACGAACGTTTGTTTTGATCCAACATAACCCACAGTTGAAAGGGCGAAACAATGAAATAAATTTTATTCATTGGGACGAAAGATAAACATTAGTAACCACTAATGGCTAATTTCACAAACAGTACACTCTTTTCCCATGTGAAAGGGTACTGATACATTATTAAACACAATGGAATAAGTTTTAATCTATAAAATGAGCTAAAAATGCTGAAATTACGTTTTGTAGAAATAAACAGAAATCCTCTCGTCCAAGGTGCTTTCACGGTGCATGGATTACATACTGTAACGTGATTTATAAATTCGGGTTCGATTTATATCAATATTTATTAAACAAAACTAAAACACTATAAAATCCGTACAATTTATATCGATTATTTATATCACACACTTCGAAATTTATATCAGCTTTTCGCGCTCTATGTTTCGTCCGCAACCATTTATACACGCAAGCAATGTAAGTCCCGAACATTCTCGAATATTCCTACTATCGCGCGCGTAGAAAATTCCAGAGCGCCAAAGGCGACGTCATGTCTGGAGCATTTCCGTTACAATACCCACCTTGCTCTCATCTGTCACATCGCTACAGCTTTGCCGTCGTGACACATTAATTATCATAAATTTTCTTATGAAGCTGTTTATAATTATTTGTTTTTCACAACTGTTATAAATATTTAAAAATACATTTAGATTCTTTCAAATATATGTGTTATTAATATTTCCTTAAAAATCGTGAAAATTTCTTACTCCAGGCAAAGAGTAAATAGTAATCTTTGCTCCAGGTTCACGCTATCAAATGTTATTGGTCTGATTTTCAAATGTGATTCGAAAATAATGCGAATAAAGCTTTTAACGTTGACAATCGGTTTTTGGTCAAAAACTTTCAAAATTTTTAAATGGAAACCATATTTTTACTATACTCGTCAATGGAAAGAGCATAAAAAACGGCCGAAAATATGTACCTACTTACAAAATGTTTTCTAAAGTGGACATTTTGCAAGTACATTTTTTGCCCATTTTCAAAAGACAGGTATGTCTATAATAGTATTGAATAACTTTAAATAATAATCGTCAATATAGATACTTTTTCTTCTTATTTTTTTAGTGGTATTTTCAATCACTATATAAGCCAGGGCTGGGCACGTATCAAAATACAGTATTTAAAATACAATTGTCTAATAAATAGTTTTGATAAAGTTTTATTGTATTTAAAATACAAATGCTTTAGAAAATGTTATACGTTCACCCAATTGCACTTGTTAACTGTCCCATCGATCTATATATAAGCTAGGCATATTTGTATATAACAACATCAACCTGTTTGACCGTCTGAACACCCATCACAGGTATCCTACAAGGAACGGTAAATTGTTATCGATACCCAAACATAGATCTATCAAATTCAAACATAGCCCACTTTACAATGGTATCAGAATCTTCAATTAATTGCCTCCCAACATCCACATGGCCAAGACGCCATCTTTATTTAAAAAAAAGATTAAAACAATATCTAACGGGGAGAGCTTATTATAGCCTCAACGAAATATACATGACATCGGCATAGTCCATGCAACTATTATAGGTACCTTATTTGTTTGTGTTTATCTTATGTTATCTATCTTGTTTGTAAACCTTTGACGTTGTCTATATCATTGTTTGTGATCTACTGACAGAAATACATTATTATTATTATTATAAATGTATTTCAAATACGAATAAAAGAATTAGAGCTAGCTTGTCTGGATAATGACCTTAACATTAGGAAGTTATTTATATATAAGGTACAATACTATAGTATGTGTTCATCTTGCAACCCAGATAGCTACACTTTTTCAGTGAAAAGAAATGAGATAAAAGAAGAAGTTTGTACCAATTTGAATTGCGCATGTCAGGCGTTAAGTTTTCTTAGCAACGCAGTTCGTATTGTCGCGAGAAGTACATACAACAGCCTATCTGCAGTTTAAAACTTCAAATTTCTATAAATCGATACGACTTCAATAGTTCAATAGTTTTCCCAGTCACAGAAAAAAATAATGTATTATACACGGGAAAAATGTTAGATTTTAGGTCTCGGTTTTTGTCTCCCATCGCGAATCGAGCGAAAATCAAATATTTGTTTACTCACAATCGGTTAGTATTATCTGAATTCCTAACCTTCAAAGCGGTTGCGAAGCGACTCATTCCTTAGACGGGAAAGTTACTTTCCCGGCTAGCTGTCACTTTCCCGGCTAGCGTCTGTCACTTTCCTTACCTGCAAATGCGTATTTGCAATTTGTACTTGCCCATGTATTGAATTCTCAACGTACCCTTCCGCTACGGTACTAGATTTCCACCCTCCTAGTCGTTTCAACTGCAGAATATCTCTACCTGTATTTGCTTCACTGTCGGATATTATTCATGAAAAAATATAGAAAAATTTGCTATGAAAAATGCGCTTGACTGACAAATTGTTAAGTTGCCTAGTAACGATGTCACAGATACCTATATTTCTTAAAATAATTACGAACTATTACAAATTCTATTACATACTTTACCTTAAATGATCGATTGTGAGTAAAATAGTATACAAACCTCGCTGGTCAGTGGTTCATAACCAACGCCTCGCGCTTATACCCCACCTCCGCGCGTCGGTGAGGTACCTTAAGCCCTCGGGGTAGGTAATGAACCACTTCCCAGCTCGGTATGTAATCTACTATTCCCTTGTATAATAAATAACTATTAGTTTTTTAACTTTGTCATTTTTTTGTTTTTTTTTATGAAACCTGGCACAATTTTTGTAGTGCACAGAATAATGAGGCCTTTGGAATAACGTAATAAAGATTTTAGGTTGTTATTTGAAAAAAAAAGTTCGATGCCGTTGCGGCACTCCAACATTTTCTCTCCAGTATCCGGCTCGTTATTTTTCGTTTCAGTATGCCTAATATACATATCCAAAATTTGAACAAAATCCGTCGAGCCCTTACTTCAGAAAATTGGCAACGTACGCACGTATCTACATACAGACGGAAAAATATTTATTCTAGTTGCTGAAAATGATCTAAAACCAAAGAGATTATGGTTACTCTTTGCTAAAACGTCGGCATTTGATGAAATTTTAACATGTCCAAAAAACGGTAACTAGCTCGCGCTAGGAAGCTAATATGCGCTGTTGCCAAATAAATAATTATTGCTTTCATACTGGCATTGCTTTTTCAAAATAATTATACTGGTTTATCTAAACTGATTACAAAAATGTTTGGTATAACCATTCTTATAATATACCTATGTACATCTAAATTCACGTGAACTCTTAGTTAACCAATTTTAGTACAATCAGCCATAAATACCTATATTATATATTTGTTACACCTTGTATACAGTCAAATAGCAGCAAAACAGAGTATCGAGCAGTTGTCACAAATTTTTGGAAACTAATACCGAAAACATTACTCTTGTTAAAATAATGGCGGTGTAGATGTTTGCTTGAAAATGTTACACAAGGTGAAACTGTAATTTAGTGTGCCAATGCAGCGTTATCAAAATTTACACGATTTTGTAGTCAACACGTCACTGCTGTGGGGATTTATTCTAGTTTTGTACCTTTCAAACTTTCATTTATAAAAATGTTTAGTTCTTGCTGCTTATGCTGCAAGTAGACAAAATTCTTATAAAATTAAAATGTAACTATTTTTAGTTATTTGTCAGTGTTGCCACCCCAACTCCTTATTCACACTTCACAGTGTCTCAATAATTACCCATATTTATAATCAGTACAATTTTGTTTCTTTAAACTAATCAGAGTAGATAATTGACCTTCATCTTTTTTTTTGTTTGTAATCATCATTGAAAAATATTCGACATCACTATTTATTTAAAGAATCATATACAGATATTACAAGATAGAAACTATTTTTATACACTTCTAAATTACTCTGAAAATATAAATTGATAAGAAATATCACAAAGTCTATTATAGGAATAAACCATGCTTACATTACTACGTAAATAAATTTACAATTTCTACAGCTCATCCAACAAATGTTTGTCGAACATAAACTCTCCCAAAGCTTTGTGTTCATCCATCATTTTTTCGAGGTTTGATATTTTACCAGCCAAATCACGTTGACCTTTGTATTGCTCTTCGAGAAATTCCCCAGTCAAGTGATCTACCAACTGATAAAAAAAATGACTGATATGGAAAGTTGACTACGACTGATTTACTTACATGATAATCATTAAACCCAAATCCTTCTTCTTCTTTTGGTTGTTCACACTCTTCGATAACACCACGAATGCTTTTTGTCACTTTTGCCTCCAAGCGTAATGCATCTTTCAGGGCATCAACACCACTTACCCACGATAAAGTACCTGGTACAATCTAGAAAATTTAATTAGCAAGTACAAATCTTAGAATGTATAATACGGACCGTTCTCTTTATCAGTTTGCTGACATTTGAGGTTAATTCACCTCGCATTAATAAATAGGAAATCAATTTGAGCGCATGCTGCCTTTCTTCACTAGCAGATTGGAAAAAGAATTTTGCAAAACCGGGTCTATTTATTTTGTCCCTGGAGAAATGGGCACCCATTGCTAAATATTGAATTGAAGCTTCCAATTCGGTTTGGATTTGGGCTCTCATCTTTTGTACACATGGTTTAACCATATCTATCCAATCCTTTGGAATATTCGGTTTTGCATGTTCACCTGCAGACAAAAATTAGGGTTATTTGATAATTAGGTAGCAATTACATACATTGCAGACTGGCGGAAGATGTTGCAACAGCGGCGAAAATAACAATAACAGAAGTGATAACCTTCATTTTCACAAAAATATTTTTTTATCAAAGTTGTTTTTCTATTGTTCACTAGCCGTCCTTTACACTCACTGGTGTAGAAGGTGACTAGATAAAACTAGACAAGTGACGATTAAAAACGATAGAGACGTAATTGCGCGATAAGTTTGGGAGCGATCACTCACAAACACATGACACCAGTTTCAGATTAACACTGTTTTCAATTCACTGTTAAAACGTAAACTGCGTCACTCCACTAACAGAAAAATCAAAAATTCCCCTGTTTATGGGCTGACACAGCATTTTCTTTTGTTCGAAGTGCGCAGTAATCGGTGCGCCTGCGTTTTTGCGTCGTTAGGTATTTATAATAAATCAGCTTCATTATTCGTGATTACGCTGGCGAGATACCAGGTTCGTATTCGTATTTTTCTCTTTTATGCATTAAAATAATTTCTTATAGGGATCATGAAGTTCCTATTCGTTTGTGTTACTATTATAGCGGCTGCTTATGCAGCTACAGGAGGAGATGAATGTTACAAGGATAGCGTTCGGGCATGCAAATCCACTTTGAAAGGTAAACAAGCAAATTCAAAAACCATCGCTAACTTGATACATTTCAGATAAGAAAGACAAAAAGGATCCTTCTCTACCTTCTTGCAGTGCAAAATACGGAGCAATTCAGGAAGTCCTTCCCGACCTTCAACAGTACGTAAACAGCCACATAACTCGCAATTTCGAGTACATGCTTATGGCCACTCATTATGGCAACTATGAGAAAAGTCGTGCAGGTTTCGAAAAACTTTTCATGGACTTGTCTGACTCGAAATGGGAAGCCACCATTGATTTAATCAAGTACATTACAAAACGTGGTGGTGAGATGAAGTTTGACAATATCAAAGCGGATACCGTTAATGATGAAAATGCAAGTTATGAGCTGTACGAGCTCAACAGTTTGGCAAAGGCGCTTGATATGGAAAAGGAACTGGCTGAACGTGCTCATCATATACATGGTGAGGCAACTCGTAGACGTGAATCTTTGCATGACCCTGAAGTGTCCTCTTACATCGAAAACGAATTTGTCCATAAGCATGCAGCAACTATTCGTAAGTTATCTGGCTATACTTCAGATCTAACATCTTTATTGAATGGACCTGATAGTTCTCTCGCTTTGTACATATTTGATGATTATCTTAAGAAACAATCTATTGTGTAAAGTATAATGTGTATATAATTATTTAGTGTAAGTATAAGTTGAAGTGAGAAATGTTTGTGATACATTTATCATTTAGATAAAAATACCAATTTGTTATGATATAGAATATTTTAATAAAATTTCTTCAGTGTATTGTTTTGTTTATTTTTCTTGTCCTTAAAATGAAACTAGTGAAATTTAGCAAAGATAGTGAACGAGATTTCACTATCTTATCAGGGCTACTGAACTTTGACGGTTTAAAGTTTGAAATAATACGCGGTGGTGATGCTTTCTAACTAACCTATAAAATTGCTCATCCTGTGTACAGCACAAAATATCATACACAAGTGATGCGCACCTTGATCCATCTGATACTAAACTCGATATACTTTTTTGTATGCATACATGGAATGATATTAGGCGTCATAGATCAAAGTTCACAAAATGAAATTACTACACTACGACCGCTCGGAAAATCGGTGGCATTTCCAAACTAGTTTTTTTGGTAGCACAAAAAATGTGTAACTTTTTTAATTAAAAAAATACAATAGTGTTTTTCAAAAATTATCCCCCATTTTCAAAACCATCACTTTTGTTCTAACGGGCGATCAAAAATGAGTTGCTGTCGAGTGACCTTTGGAAGTTCAAGTTGAGTATGATTTCCCATGTAAAAAAAATTCCAAAGGTGACTCAACAGCAACTCATTTTTGATCGCATAGTGTAACATTATATTATTATATATTGAAGATTCAGTAGTAAATGTTTCAGAATGGAATTGTCCTTTCAGGGATTCGAATTTAAGACGTTTGCAGAAGATGGTATAATAAGGAGAAGAAGATAAAGAACGCAAAATGTGAATAGTAAAGAAAGCAGATGAGATGCTGCGATATGATCTGAGTGGTCCCAACTAAAACAATTAAATTACTTTAGATGTTGTAAATAGGTACCTATGTATGTATGTAAAAAGTTCCGACGTCCTGTGGATATACGTTTTATGTCCATTATATGTACGAATGTCCATGGACCTAAAACGAACATCCATTAGATGTTCTTCTCGAAACGTTTATGGGATGTTTTAATTTATTAAATATACGTTCCATGCTTCCTGCATGTTTGAAATGACTGAACGTTATAAATACATCCATAAGAAGTTCTTGTGCTATATATGGGTAAATGTAATTGTAGGTATACTTTGTACATAGTTTTTGTTTTGATGTAGTGTTATAGCATGTAAATAGCGTTTTTCAGACGAACTATAGATTGCTCAATAAATTTAATTTCATGGGGTATTATACTCTTATTTCTTATAAAATCAGTTTTCTGGACAGTTCAAACGTAGAATTTTATTATTCTACAGATATAATATAAATGAAGAAATTAAGAGAACCATTAATATATACTTACTACGGAGCTTTTGCGGGTTTGGGTTATGGTCTTAAGTCGTGCGTTATCGAGCCCTCTGCAGAGGATGGCGTTACAGTAACAGTTCCACTAATATGGTAAACAACTTTTGCTTACCATAACTGCTGTAGTCATATAATGTAAGGCTGCAGTTATTGAACCTGGAAGAGGATGTATGGTTTCAACATAAGATACCGTCCACCATATACTGCTCGCAATTCGGCAAACGCTTGAAGGGAATCGTTTATTCCAGATCACTTGATTTCGAATTTTGGAGTTATGCCTGGTCTTCCAGAGCAGAACATTTATTTCTTTGGAACACCGAAGTTCCGTTTGAACGTTTTCGCAGTCAGTCTTTTTGTAAACTTCCACATAATGTCATTATATTACATCATATATTACTTATATGACTCTAAGAAAATGCATTTTGACACGTTTCGCATTATTTGAACTTATTCGGGTAATCTTATTTTGATATCTACAATTCATACAAGCGACAAACTTAAAAATTACTGATTACCTACCTGCAGAAAACAAACTTCAAAAATCTTTATCCATACTCATACCAAAGACTATCCATACACTAAAAATATTTTGTGAATAGTCACGTACAGAGAAACAGCCAGAATGTATAATTTCATTCGAGCTTTACAGCAAGGCTTTCATATTTTAATCAAATTAAATCATACCAAAATCATACCTACTTATTCTTTTCAAAGACAAGCGGAATAACTAAAACTATAACTTATGAGAACAGAACATGTATTAAAATATTAAATTAATACGCAAACAGCTTATACTTAGGCCAGGTGTAGGTAACGTTGAAAATAAACATCCTTAGTTTTAATCTCAGAGTAAGAAATCTGAGCTTCTAATCACTAATGGCCGTTTAGCCATAAAAGATAAAACTTCACTGATTTTTCCGAGGATTATTTTTCAATCACATGGGCATTGTTCAGGTTTATGCAACTATATAATATTTATTATGGTGAAATATAATTCCAAATATCGATAACGACTGTGTAAAGTACAGGAAATGACGCATGTGAGAGATAATACCTAGAGGTTGCCGCAGATATAATAACTAGCTCACAGTCATATGACAATAGAAATAAAGTTTGTCTCTGTGAGAACTGAGGAAATATTTACCTAGACTCTTTATTCAATGCTCTAATACAATACAGGGCGTTCAACTACGGTACGTATAATATACCTCGATTATTGCTATCTATAATCATAGACATAGGTATGAGAATATACCTAATGGATATTTGTACTCGAACTATTAATCGAAGATATCCCATTTTAGCTAAAATATTCTCATTTGTGTACCACGTATACACATAAATCATTACCTACTTATCGGCCCACCGCCATCATGCTATAGGTAGGTACTTAGTGCACAAAACGCACCAAAAGTTGCGACAACATCGTTTTTATAGTGTTTCGCTGTATAAGAATATACCCGAGAAGGCACAGATATACGTAACGTCATTGAATTTAGTTATAAATTCAATGGTAACGTATATCTGTGCCTATACCTATACAGTGCGTCCCAGATCGCGGCGTGGGATTACCTGGGTAACTTTCTTATTATTAAAGATAGAGAATTGGTTAAATGGACTGCAATGTTTTGCAGTTTTAGATGTTTATTTAAAATTTCCTTGTGGAAATTCAAAATATCGCATAGGTTGGACGTAAATTCAAAAAAACTATAATTGGTCGCGTCGTTCCATTAAACTCGTTGCGCGTGCTTTAAAGACTTGATTATAATTTATACACTTGTATCTTAATATACCTTGGATGAAAAAGTAACTGGATTGCTAGCACAGTCAAATTAATGAAGCCAACATCTACAGCGCCATCACAGGGCAGTTGTGCGTTTTGTGAAACAAAATTTTACACACGTCAATGTTACGAGATTTAATTTGGGTGTTTGATAGCGATTTTATGTAATTTTGTGTTATTTAGTTGTGTTATTTTTATATAATTAATTAAAAATGAGACGCTGAAGTTGTTTGGTAAAAAAATGTGATGAATGTGATGCAGTTCATAACTTTAAAAACAAGGACATTAAAACAGAAACATTTTTCGCGTAGGTAATAGTTATTTACCTAACAAGTTCGGTAAGTTAATTTTCCCGCATGAGCACTTTGTTTGCAGCACGACCGTAGGGAGTGCTGCATTTAGTGCGAATGCGGGAAAATTCTTTCCGAAAGAGTTAGGTACAATATTTTTTGTAACGAATTGCGTAAAAAAAGGTCAAAATTAATAAAGTTTTGTAAATTAGCTTTTTTTTAATCATGAGTTGGTAACACAATCATATGTTTGGTTGGTAACATAATTTTGTAACTACCCACTTTTAATAATGCACTGGTCACATTTAAAGTAGTTAGAGCGCCTAGGTAAAAGTAACAAGAAGTTGGTGAAAATTTGGTCACTTATTCTCTGAGAGACGCACTTTCTAATGGTCAAGAAAAAAGTGTTCCTATGTGCCGTTTCTGAGATATTTGACAGTAAAAACAGGGTATTTTAACATGGGCTCTTATGGACAGACTCAGTTTTTCTGAGCTAGCGAAGGTTTTTGTATCAAGACTTAAACGAGATGGATCTCATTAGAAGCGAAATTTTGTGACGAATCTAAATATGCACGGAAAAGTACATGTTCATGATGAAATAAGGAAGATATTTACCGCCGAAGCGGCGTCTGCTCTGACGCGGCGGCACGCTATGCAGCACGCGTTTAAATTTCATGACTTTTCCACTAGGTCTAGTATATAGCTGAGCTAGGACAATCTTTTCCTTCTTCTGCTGAGCACTTTTCTTCACAAAAGGCATGGTGTCTTTCAGAAAGAACACCAAAACCAACGATATTTATCAAGGCCTGCACACGTCTTGTTGACACACTGATCGGATCGAGATCAAGATAGCGGCTGGGGATCTCTGGCGCCAACATCGAAAAACCAAATCCACTATACCGACTTCACGTAAGACGCCAAATTATTTAGTTTCCCGTCTTTTACATACGTCTCGCATACGTTTTGATTAAAAATAAATATATTCGTTTAGGATTTACCGCTTAACTGTGAATATTTAGTCGCGGTGTGTCGTCAACATTTAGTGTGCAAAGGTTTGAAACAGGGTCGAAAAGTAGGGAGACTAGTCAAGTTGACTACTGTATATACCTTTTTAAAAATCATGTAAGACGTTTGCATTGTGCTGAGGTACAAAATACCACTCATACCGTATTTCTAATTATGTTTCCTTCATAACAACATTTTTTTGGGGACGTTTACCGTAAGGTAATAGGTAGGCCGAGTACATCACTTGACTTCAGCCGAACGCGCTCTAACTACTTTAAAACTTCCACATTTTTGGTTAATACATATTTTGCCTTTGCAATGAGTGCTACTGGTCACGGCATTGCATCGTTTGCACTGAATATCTTGAGTTGCGTAAATACACTCGTTACATTTAAAATCCTTGGAAGCTTTGTGTGTGTTAATATGTGCTTTCTTAAACTGCATATGCGAATAGTTGCAGAATATCACTGGTCACATTTTAAGACGTTTTAACAATAAATTTTACTTTTTCTTGAGTTCCAATTCTGAAAAATAATTTGATTGCGTTATAAGTTCTTGTTTATATATTTACGTAAAACTTAGTGTACG